TCTTCTTCTTCTTCTTCTTCTTCTTCTTCTTCTTCTTCTTCTTCTTCTTCTTCTTCTTCTTCTTCTTCTTCTTCTTCTTCTTCTTCTCCTTCTTCCTCTTCCTCTTCTCCTCCTCCTCCTCCTTCTCCTCCTCTTCCTCTTCCTCCCCTCCTCCTTCTTTCTTTTCTTTCTGACAGTAAAAAATATTTGGCCTTTGTTTACTGAAAACAGATTGTTTTTCATATAATATATTCTGATCATGATTTCTTCTCTTCAACTCCTCCTAGACCCTTCCTACCTAGCCACCCACCATACTCCAGTACACCACACAATCTTTTACTCTCTCATAGATAACAAACAGGCCAACACAAATTAAACTCCATGGTATTTTTGAAGTTTTTTTTTCTTCTTTTGGTCTCATAATGTTTTATCTAGACATTTTGCTACCTTACAGATCTTTTGCTTATATAGTATAGTTTCCAATTTTGTGTTTTATGGGATTTCTGTGTGTGTGAATGTATGTCTCTGCTACTGTATGTGTTTCTTGTGCTTTTTCTTTTCTTGGCTTTCTTTTTTCTTTTTGTTTGTTTTGTCCTATTCTGGTTTGTTTGTTATTTTATTTTACATTATTACTACTTTTTAAATGCCTGTTTGTATTCTAACGAGGGAGGATTTGGGTAGGGGGCAATGGGGAGGAACTAAGAGGAGCTGGTGAGAGGAAATCAAAATCAGACTATGTTGTTCGAAAAAAATCCATTTTCAATAAAAAAGAAAGAAAAAAGTGAGATATGATGGGTGGTCACTGGGGGGAGTTGTAGAGTGAGAGGGGTGAGGGTGTATATAATCAAGATATATTGTATACATGTACAAAATTTTAAAGAATACGTTTTTTTAAATTGCACAGAACCATGAAAGACAACCCCCCCCACACACACATGGACATATATATACCTGCCAAAAGTCAAAGCAATTCTGAAAAAAATGCAAGGCTGGAGATAGCACACTGCCTCACCTCAAAATATACCACACAGACACAGAAACCAAAGAGGCATGAAGCATGGAACAGAACAGGGAAGCCAGAAATGTGTCCATGTGTTGGCAGCCCACTGACTGTTGATTGGAGAAGGGAGAGCCTCTTCAACAAATGGCACTGGGAAACCTGGAGACGAATCTGCAGAAGACAGCTGTAGCCTATTCATTCACCGTGTACAAAAGCCAAATCATAACAGATCAAAACTTAAAATGTGAAGCACCCCAAACTAGGAAAATACTTAAATTTTAAAAAATTAAAATAAGAAACCTGGGGAAAATGCTTCAGGGCATGCATCTGGGGAAAGGTTGGCTTTAAATGTGACCCCAAAAACATAAACAACAAAGCTAAAAATTGTGTAATGCGACCTCAGCAAATTTAGAAGTTTCCATATAGAGAAAAACAAGCAACAGGGTGAAGAGACAACTGCAAAAACAAACAAACAAAACAAACCAATAATAACCTGGTTTTAAATGCACCAGTGATCTAAATAGAAATTTTTTCCCAGAAATGATATACAAACGGCCAAAAGTTTTATGAAAAAAAGCATCACTAATCATGAGAGAGGTGCAATCATGAGAGAGGAACAGATAAAAATGATGAGATATCTTTTAGCCCAGTGTTGGTAGCTGAGCATCTGAAGTACAAGGCAACCTAAGCTGGCCCAGATACAGAGATGGCAGAGCCTACTATGATGAGAACGTCACCTGCTACAGCATCCAGGTTTCTCAAACTCTGGCATTAAGTCTATGCCATGACCCAGTACCCCTACTACTGGGTACACACACCCAGAGAAATCCATATACCTACATGTTTCTACAGCAATAATCACAGCATGGTGTGAGGTCAACATAGACACCCATCAGAGGACAGACAAAAAGAGAAAATGTGGTACAAATATACAGTGTAATATTATTCAATCATAAAGAATGCCATTTGTGACAACATGGATGAACCTGGAGGGCATTCTAATGAGTGAAATAAGTCTAGAACCAAGAAATGAATACTGATTGTTCTGATTTATATGCAGAATGATCTCATACAAGTGCAGAGACTAGTGATTCCCAAGCCTTCAAGAGTGGAGGGGTGGGAGAGTGCTGGAGAAAAGAGGGGTATAGGTGGACAGATGGAAGAAGGACTAATGTTCAACAGCCCATGACAATAGCAGTTGACAAAGATTAACTGACTGTCTTAAAATATCAGAGAGGAGGCTGCACATCCCTTATGCAAAGAAATAAAAACAAGTGGAGTGATCAGATATCCTAGTAACCATGACCTCATCACTATACATTGTATATGGGTAGTAAAATGTCAGGCTGTACCCCACACATGTGTACAATCTTTATGATAGGTAACAGTATATTTCAAAACTTTAAAGGAATCAGCCAGAAGTCGAAATCCATCTGCACAGTAGCCAACTCAGGACAATTCCTGAGCTTAATGCAAGGACAAGAAAAGATGCCGGAGGGCACTGGAGCCTTGAGAGAGAGAGAGAGAGAGAGAGAGAGAGAGAGAGAGAGAGTCCTGATGAGCTTTTAATTGTTCATGAGAGCCCCCAGCCACCTCCAACTCTCAAGACACAGAGAGGAGGACTCAGGATGTGACTGCAGAGGAAGGAGATTATCTTCCAACATCACAGAAATCTTACTTTCAAATGAATGTTACCACCTTAACGCAGAGTCCTTACTGAGTTCTGGTGACAGTACATTCAAAATGCTTCAGGCAGTGGGGAAAGTGACTAGAAGAAGCAGACCTGCTGCAGCCGCTCTGAAGGCAGGAAGAGGTGCGAAAACCTCTTGGAATTTGTTTTTAAAAACTTACCCATTTGGTAAGAACTTTAAAACTTAGCAATAATTGCTTCAGGCAGTGGGGAAAGTGACTAGAAGAAGCAGACCTGCTGCAGCCACTCTGAAGGGAGGAGCAGGTGGGAAACCCTCTTGGAATTTGTTTTTAAAAACTTAGCCATTTGGTAAGAACTTTAAAACTTAGCAATAAAATGTTGACATGCCTCATATTTAAGGGACAAGGTCAACCTAAGTGTTAGGTACCAAGAAGTACCCAGAAAATGAAAATAGAAGCAGAAACTAGACAAGACATAAAAGAAGTAGAAATTGTCTGAAGCTAAAGGGACAAGAACATTCTGGGCCATAGTAAGGAAGATCAACCTCAGCCCCTAAGACCAACACTTGCTTCCACACATGGAAGGACCAGGCACACTCCTCCTCACCCAGGTAAAGTGTGGATAATCACAGCATCCTTAGGAAAAGGTCTGCAACATGTGATAATGATTATAATATGGGGGCTTGGGAAATGGGTCACTGGGTAAAGTGCTTCCCGTACAGACATGAGGACCTGAGTTCAGATCCCCTGCAGCCAAGTAAGGGCTGCTCAGGGTGGCAAGCGTCCCTAGCCAGGCAGGCTAGCCCTAACAGTGAGCTCCATGTTCAGTGAGAGACCATACCTCAAAAACTAGATGGAGACCATGACAGGGAGATCGTGCGTTGGCCTCCAGTGTCTGCATAAGCATATAAGGTGTGCACACGTGTAGGTATGCATACCCACACACCTACCAACTACACAAACTTTAAAAATACATTACAAACTGGTATGACAGTGTGCATCTCTCATCCTTGCCACCTGGGAAGGACAGGCAGGAAGATGGCAAATTCCAGGCCTGCTAGGGCTACAGAGCAAGTTGGAGGCCAGCTGCAAACTACTGAGTGTCTCAAAATAAAATTTAAAAAAGGACTCAGGATGTAGCTCAGTGGCAGAGTGCCTTCAGGCATGTGCAGGGCCCTGGGCTCAGCCTCCATGATCACACATACATACATACATACATACATACATACATACCATACATACATACACACAACACAAATCAACTATAATACTTACAGCCCTCTGGAGTCCTCAGGGTCAGGAAGTCATTGGTGTTGTGCACTTTGCTGAGGCAGTGAACCTGGACCTTAACATGATACGTGGTATCTGGCTTCAAGACTTTTAGTACAGTGCTTGTTTTATTGCTGTGAGTTTCCAGGGTCTTCCATATACTCTCTCCAACCACCCTGACCAAAACAAATAGGACACTGTCACAGAGAGGCAGTGTGTGGTGACGGAGATGCATGAGCCAGCTGGAGAGGAGCTCTCCATGCACGTCACAGGAGAACTCACAGGGCATCCCATTTCGATGGCAACTGTGGCTAAATTAGGACCCACCTGTAGTAGACATTGTATACACAAGAAGCAGAGGGCATTTTTTTTGGTCGCATCCAGGTCAAAGTCACATCCCCAGAGAAGTCGACTGTCCACTGAAGATTCTGTACTTTGTAGACAGTTGACTCATCTACAGAGATACAGAGAGCAATCAAAGTTCTATCTTAGAAATCCTTGAATTTCAAAGAACTCCCTTGAGGTAGAGACACTATGAACTAAATTGTTAAGAGGACACAATCATTATAAGAAACAACATCCCAGCAGAAACCCTGTCTCGAAAAACCAAAAGAGGACACAATCATTATAAGAAACAACATCCCAGCAGAAACCCTGTCTCAAAAAACCAAAAAAAAAGAAAGAAAAGAAAAAGAGAGAGAGAGAGAGAGAGAGAGAGAGAGAGAGAGAGAGAGAGAGAGAGAGAGAACGACATCCTAGAAAACTTGACTACAACCCCCACCTTTCCTAGGCTTTCCTAAATTTCCCACCATTTTTTACTTCTACATTTTACCTCCCCCTGAGCCTGATCAATTTAAACCTGATTCTCAATAGAAGATGCTGCAAGTTGGAGGATGGCACATATCTAGACAGCAGTTAACTCCACTTGCAGTAGGAGGCTCTGTGAGAGCAATGGCATGCCCATTAGTGAAGGTAGAGATCATGGGGAACACACTGAGGCCTTTCACTACTAGGGAAGAGATCCTGCATGGTCCATCAAAACTAGACCACACCTCCCCTCACTTGGCACTCCCAGGTTGAACACATTTTCAAGAGGAGACAAAGTTCCAAAGGTCCTAGCTAGAAGCCTCCACAGTAACTGGAGGGTGGGGCTGTCACTCACCACTGCAGGCCTTCTCGTCACTCTCATCTGAGCAGTCCAGGAAGCCATCACAGCGCTCAGAGAGCACAATGCAGGCTTCTCCATCCTCACACTTGAACTCTCTGCTCATACAGGTCAAGGTGCTGTGAGTGGCTGAAACAGAAAGAATCTCTTTAAACCCAGAGGGGAAAGGATATACAGTACTTTGGTGTGGCTCGGCCTAGGTTCACCACATTTAAGAAGAGTAGGCTAGTTTCTTTAAACTATTGATTTCTGCTCCAAAATTCTCTGGAAGGGGAAGTAGAAGGATGCTAGCCACATGGTAGCATTGTACTTACCATTAACTAAAATGTCTCATCAGGAAGACTGGAAGCTTTGGGGTCAAAAAGACTAGATGAGGGTTTTGTTTATGCTTGTTTTTGAGACAGAGTCTCAACTATTTCAGCCTTGTCTCCAACTGGAGACAACCTGATGGTGACTTTAGACTTCTGATCTTCCTGCCTCCATCTCCTGAGTGCTAGAATTGCAGGCTTGTATAGCTATGCTCCAATTTATGAAATGCCGGGGATCAAACCCAGGGTTTTGTGCATGCAAAGGTGTGCTGGCTAGTTTTATGCCAACTTTACAAAAACTAGAATCATTTGGGAAGAGGGAACTTCAAGAGAGAAAATGCTGTCGTCAGATCAGCCTGTGGGAAAGTTTATGATGCATTTTCTTGATTGATGACTGATGTGAGAGGGTCCAGCTTACCATAAGCAGTGCTACCCCTGGGCTAGTGGTCCTTGGCACTATAAGAAAGCAGGCGGAGCAAGCCAGTAAGCAGCACTCCCCCATGGCTTCTGCTTCAGTTCCTGCTACCAGACTCCTCCCTGCTTGAATTCCTGCCCTGACTTCCTTTGAGGATGGACTGTGATATAGAGCTGTGTGTTGAAATAAAACCTTCCCTTTGCAAGTCGCTTCCGTCATGGCATTTATCACAGCAGTAGAAATCATAACTAAGATACCAGGCAAGTAGGCAAGCACTGGACTGTGATATAGAGCTGTGTGTTGAAATAAAACCTTCCCTTTGCAAGTTGCTTCCGTCATGGCATTTATCACAGCAGTAGAAATCATAACTGAGATACCAGGCAAGGAGGCAAGCACCATACCAACTCAACTCCATCCTCAGTCTAGACAAGGGTTGAAACCCTTATTCAGTGTTATCTCAAGCACCTCCCAAAGTTCAACCCCACTCTGGAAGGCTGGCTAACAACCCCGCTGCTACCTATGTGTGAGGATCTAATGAGCTCAAGGACCTGCAAAGAGGCCTGGCCTTGGCCAACACTAACAAATGGCAGCTATTCCCCTGCACCGATGATTATTCTGTTCCTAGTATTTATATGTTTACAATCTAGAAAGACGCTATGTTTTTCCGGGTTGGGTAATAAAAATAACTGGATGAATGACAATAATGTGAAGAGGGATACATGCTCACGTGGCATTTTGAATTGCATGAGTCTTCAAAGTATTTTGACAAGAGAAGGAAGGGGTAATCTAAGAGTTAATAAGACTCATTTCAAAGAAGGTTATTAGTCAAAGGTACATGATCTCCATTTTAGATGGAGGGTCAAAAAGGGAATGGTGGCAATGTCATTCAAAACACTCCTAAAGAGAGAAGGGGGTGGCTACAGAACCCAAATATCCTGTCCAAGGGTGGTCTGGGGTTTGGTTCTCCTTGTACCTGCCTACCTGCCCAATCCTGAATAAGACATCATGCTCCCTAGGAGTCAGTAGGATCTGAGGGCAACTGTGAGACCCTAAGTCAAAGTCTTCCACATCCTAACCCATGGAAGCTGATGCTATGTTACTTTGCATAGCAACAGGAGGCCTAGAAGATGGAATTTAGTTAAGGACCATGATGGAGAAAGCTCAACCTGTGTCAACCAAGTGGGCTCCAGCTACCTCCATGATCCTTCAGAACAGAGAGCTTCCCTGTTGCTGTCAGAAAGTGATATCCAAAGGCAGAGGTCAGATAAATGCAAAGTTGCTGGCTTTGAAGGTGGAGGAGGAGCTATGAACTTCTGAAGGACAGGGCCCCAGATACTGGGAAAAGCAAAGACTATCCTGGGAGTCTCCAGAGGTGCCAGCCACAACTAGGTTTTAGCCTAGTGACACCCAGGTCACATCTGACTCAGTATATGGATTGATTCAGGCCATGACACGTGAGGCCACACATCACAGTGGCCAGAGAAGACCAGCATGCATTCTAACCTTGGTGTCTGCTCAGCTTGTATACAGGAGGTCCTATCTTGCATTTATGAGCTCAGATTGTAAATTCTCCAATGGCCCTCAATAGCAAAGCCTCTCCCAGATCTTGAGCCTTGCCTGCCTTGTGCACAAAAACATCATTTTCCACTCAAAGTGTCATCCAGACATACAGAACTCAGGTTTTAAAAAAATCCAACCTTAATCTAAAATACTTTCAATAAATTGTTTGATTTAACCCATACTAGGATTTCAACACACACACACACACACACACACACACACACACACACACACACCAAAGAGATTATTAGCACGTGGAACAATCTAAAATAGAAAATTCATAATTTTGTTTTCTCATATTTGTCTGATGCCACTCTTAAAAATTAGATTCCTAGGACTTGCTCCAGATGTCCTGCAGTGGGTGTGTGATGTTTTCCATCTCCACATGACTCCCAGGAAGCAGACAGGATCAACTGACTCTGCTTTAGAATGAGCACTGCTGCAATCCTGTTTTCCTCCTAGAGCATCACTTGTTGAGACCCAGGAGGAAAATGGGTGGTATTCTCAGGAGCCGTCAAGATGTTCAAAGCAAAGGAGCACTGCTGCAATCCTGTTTTCCTCCTAGAGCATCACTTGTTGAGACCGGAGGAAAATGGGTGGTGTTCTCAGGAGCCGTCAAGATGTTCAAAGCAAAAGCATAAAGAATCCCGGGAGTTGTCTCCAGATGGGAAAACAGACAGGATAGGCCAGGGAAGAAGGAAGTAGCAGGAGGGATTGAGGAGTGTTGCAACAACTATGTTTTCATGGGGGAAGATCTGAGGCCTCTTCAAAAGAGTGCCTGGGATAGAGGAGCAGATTTGTTGGGTACTAGGAAAAAAAGAGCTGATAGGGAAAAGGGAGTGGCTAGTTCCAGGATTTCTGTGCCAGGTTCCAGCTTCCCTGTGGATACCAAGCTCTCTCACACAAAACAGTGATGTTAAATAGTGAGGATAAACAAATATAACCTCTGCACCTCTGCCCACATACCTTATTTCTGGGTGACTTATATTCCCCAACAGGGCATTACCTCTATGTAAATACGTGTGACACTGTTTTGTTTAGGAAATAATACATGCAAAGAGTCTCTGCATGTTAAGTTCAAATGCATTTTTGATGACTTCCAACCCAGGGTTAGTAAAATTCGAGGGTACAGAATCCATGAACAAGGAAAAGGGAATTTCCAAAACCATTTATGAAGAAATTTTGTGTCTATGTGTGGACTTCCAACCCAGGGTTAGTAAAATTCGAGGGTACAGAATCCATGAACACACAAGGAAAAGGGAATTGCCAAAACCATTTATGAAGAAATTTTGTGTCTATGTGTATGTGTGGTACGTATGCATGTTTGCAAATGTGTGTGCATGTGTGTGGAGGCCATAGGTTGGCCTTGGGTCTCCACTGTATTCACTAAGGCAGGATCTCTCAATTGAACCCAGAGTTCACTGGTCAGCTGAGCCTAGCTAGCCAGCTTGCTTCCAGATCCCTGTCTCAGCCTTCCAAATATTGAAATTATAGACGAGGCTCCTTCACCTGCCCAGCTTTTATGTGGATGCAGAGGATCCAAACTCTGGTCCTCAAGCTTGCATGGCAAGTGCTTTACCCATGAAGCCACCTTCCCTGCAACCCTCATGGAGATTTTTACAACTAGAATCCCCTTCTCCAGGCAGAGCGTGATAGTATGGATAGCTATTATATTCTGAGCAGAAATTGACTTGCCTTGGGAAGTGGAAGAGCAAAGACTATGTGGCATATGAATGTATTAAAAAGAGGTTTGAATACCATTGCTGCTATCGTCTCACAAGCCAAAGATGGACTCCATGCATCCATGATACAGGTGTCTACGACAGAAACATGCAACATGACTGCAGAGGACTTGCCTGCACAGTGTACCCTCCATCAAGAGGACCGAAAACATATATGTCACTCTGGGGAATTTAGGAGACAGCTAGGGACATCCCAGTGTTAAGTGTGTGTGTGTGTGGGGGTGCCAAATGGCAGAGTGGGTGACACCACTTAACCCAGGAAGGTGCTAAGCTGTTCGGAAAGGGATTGTCTTGAAAACCACAAGATTCCCACTACAGAAATCTTCCAGTTGATAATAACTTGAAGCAACAAGTAGGGCAACTGGGGATCTGAGGCTGCTTTGTGAAACGTGTCTTAACACCGTGGGAACAAGAAAACAGGTCTTAAAACCTGGAAGTAAGACTGTCATTAATATTTAAACTGATTAACAAGCACGTGACTGATGGGCACTGAGCACAGAATGTGGGGTGCCAGAAACACGTTTTCTGTTTGATAAGGCAATCACAACAATGGACCAAAGGGCATTATGGGTAATAACACATCTTGATTTTAAGACCCTTAACTAAGCAACACCCCTGTGAGTGAGCTAGATTTGAAACGGTTTGAAAACAGTGATTTAAAAGATGCCAATTAGCGAGTTCCAATCAATCACCCAGGTGGGAGGCTCTGTTTCTTTTCTTTCCCATTAATTATTTTTAACATTCACCCGATGTGGTGGCTAGCTCTTGGCTAAGAAGTTCCCACTGTGGTTTGGGGGAGTGTGAATGTGAAGTAAACCTGCCCTGCTAACAAAATATCCCAGGGGGCCATCTTCTCTATTCTTTCATCACAAGTGTAGGCTTTTACACTAACCTGTATTTAATTTCTCTGGGTTGGGCTTGGTGTAGTCTCCTCTGATATGAGCATTCAATGTGGCATGGCAGCAAGGCCACAGCTTTCTAAAACTGTCCCATTGCCACTGACTTGGGGTGGGGTTAGGTGAGGAGTGAGGGGTTGTGGTATCCTCCTTGAAACTTAATCTTTCTTTTACTAAAAGGGAGACAATACCGAAATGACAAGGAGATTCATCGGAGGCCAAGGGTACGTAAGTGTCAGACTTAGGAACAGTGAATGAGACATTAAAACTCACCATAAAATGTTCGTTTATCTTCCCTTTTACGTGTGTGTAGATGCCCATGTGTGCACATGAATGGCTGTGAGTACAGAGGTCAGAGAACAAACTTAAATATCATCCTCGCCAATGCCATCTACTTCCTTTGAGATAGAAACCTTCACAGGACTAGAGGTCACCAACTGACCTAAGATGGTTGATCAAGGAGCCCCACTATCCTCCTGTCTCTGGCTCCCCATCATCAGGGTAGAAACACAGGCTCCCCCTCCTTTCCTTCCTCCATGGGTTCAGGGATTGAGCTTGGGTCATTGAGCCTGCACAACAAGCACATTCCTAACTGAGCCAAATCTCAGTGCCAACTTCCTGATTCTTGATTATTTCATCAGAAACTCAGCATCTTTGTTGGCTTCGTGTCACCTGCAGGTATGACATGTGAGCCTTCATGTTTTTGTTCAAGGTGCTGGGGACATTTTAAAATGGTCAGAAAGTATATTAAAAATAAAACCCTCACGTGTGCAAGTGAAAAGTAGCAGCAACTTGATCCTCCTAGGTTACATCTATTTCCTATGGGTTGAATTAGAGGAATTTGCTGCTAATAAACATTGCCTTTGATCCAGTTCTCCAGGACATGGCAATATTTTGTGGGGTTCCCTTTGGGACTCAGCCTTCCCCTTTCTTAAAAATCTTTAAGAGGAGAGAGAGAGAGAGAGAGAGAGAGAGAGAGAGAGAGAGAGAGAGAGAGAGAGACAGAGAGAGACAGAGAGAGAGAGAGAGACACAGAGAGACACAGAGAGACAGAGAACAGAATAGTGATAGATGAGGAGGAGTGGAGGTGCTCACTCTGCTATATGTTCACTGAGCAAAATGAGGCATGCATGGAAAAATGTGCTTCCTGGTACTATTAGGCATGTGACAGGGTAGGACATCAGTGTCTGCAGTGAGTAGGTGACCAAATGGAGGGGATCCTGTAAGGCAAATCCCCAAGCAAGAGAGTGTCCCCATCAGAGAGATGGGTAGATGGCAGGTTGAGTGGTATCATTCCAGTCTCCACTTTCTCAGGTCAGTGGAGTTTCCGTGCACTGACAGCAACTAAAGGTGCTGACTGGGTGCCGCGCCAAGGATTAAACTAGTGTCCTTAGGATCTGTGTCTTCTCCCTCCCAGGCTGCCTGCTTTCTCTACTGGCCCCTGCGCATCAGCCATCAGTCAATGTGTCCATCCACCCATCTACTCCAAGCGGCTTCCCTGGGCACATCAGGGGAGCAGGCAGTGGAACAACTGCCGGTTCAGAACATAGCCGCCATGCAAGTGTCACCTCACATGGCACTCAGGTTCCCTATGTGGCTTATTGTTTCTCCTCAAGTATAATTATTCTAGTATAATTATTCTATAATTATCCTGGTTCTTAATTTAATGCAGCAGGTTTTTTCGAGACAGGGTTTCTCTGTGTAGCTTTGGAGCCTATCCTGGCACTTGCTCTGGAGACCAGGCTGGCCTTGAACTCACGGAGATCTGCCTGCCTCTGCCTCCCGAGTGCTAAGATTAAAGGCGTGCGCCACAACACACAGCCTATTCTAAATGTCTCAAGGATGGTTGCTGAATGCGCCCACAAGGCCACGGCTTTACCAATGGGTCTTTTTAGGAATTAATCATGTTTAGAAAAAAAATTTATCTAAGATATTTTTCTTCCATTGAGAAATCTTTCTGGTGAGGATGCTCCTAATATTTAACATTTAGGCAGCTCATTAAATCCAGCATCACTATCATAGACTATGGCATTTGTCCACTCAGTCATGGCCTCAGAGATAATACTGTAAACACGGTTACACAGAGATACACAGGAGCCAGCTGCCCAAAGATGGAGGCAGAAGAATGGGACTCAGAGCTCTGCAAAGTGGCCTTGAGAAGATACTCACGGCAGTTGGCTTCATCCTGGCCATCCTGGCAATCCTGGTGGCCGTCACAGCGCTTCCAGTTGGGGATACATTTCTTTGGTTGGTGACACTCGAACTCAAACCGGTCACACCGTCCACGCTGGGTTGGAGTGGAGGCAGCAGTAGTGTTTGCTAGAAAAAAAAATATATATATATATAGTTACTTTTCAATATGGAGGGAGCTTGCCAGGAAGAGCAACCATTCAACTATTGGATGTGCTAGGGGAGTGCAGGCTGCAGGAACTGTAGGGCAGGGTACAGGACCCAGGCACCTGCCAGCTACACAGAAAAAGCAGGTAGGACACCACACCTTGTGTTGTTCCTCACAGTGTCCCACCACAGACTTACTTACAAGAATCTCTTTAAGGACATATGCATGGGTAAGAAAAAAGGAAAGCAGGCTGAGGAAGCAAAGTGATTAAGGGAGCCAGAGGAGGCTGCATCCCACCCTAAGCTATTGGAAGAGAAAGCTCTGAGCCAGTCAGCTCAGTATACGAGATTCCCCCAAAGGCTTAGAAACCGTCTCTCTCACCTGAGAGAGAAGACTGGGAAGGGTCAGGCAGCCTCATTTACTATTATTCCCTTCTGGACCCAGCCCAGGAGACAACTGCCTCATATATGAGGGAGAGGGTGCAGAAGTCTGACTGATTGTGTTTTGCAAAGAGTCAAAACAAAGGGGCTGTTGAAGCAGTCATAACTGAGCAAAAAGATGCTAATGATCACAGAGGCACAGAACTTACAGTCAGCCAATGAGAAGTCAGGTAACTATGAGACCCTGACAGTTTTAGGCAGGGCGCCTAGAATTTTCTCAGGACACTGACCAGCTTCAGGGATAAACAATGATATTACCAAGGTCCCAGGGTTTCCCAGCAAACAGGCTAGCCACAAAGCACAAAGCTGGCACACCCACCGGTGTGCTATGAACCACTTAATGGCATTTTAGTTTCCATCCTGGAACACAAGTAGCAAACCCTAAGCTATTGGAAGAGAAAGCTCTGAGCCAGTCAGCTCAGTATACGGGATTCCTCCAAAGGCTAGAAACTGTCTCTCTCACCTGAGAGAGAAGACTGGGAAGGGTCAGGCAGCCTCATTTACTATTATTCCCTTCTGGACCCAGCCCAGGAGACAACTGCCTCATATATGAGGGAGAGGGTGCAGAAGTCTGACTGATTGTGTTTTGCAAAGAGTCAAAACAAAGGGGCTGTTGAAGCAGTCATAACTGAGCAAAAAGATGCTAATGATCACAGAGGCACAGAACTTACAGTCAGCCAATGAGAAGTCAGGTAACTATGAGACCCTGACAGTTTTAGGCAGGGCGCCTAGAATTTTCTCAGGACACTGACCAGCTTCAGGGATAAACAATGATATTACCAAGGTCCCAGGGTTTCATATCAAACAGGCTAGCCACAAAGCACAAAGCTGGTACACCCACCGGTGTGCTATGAACCACTTAATGGCATTTTCGTTTCCATCCTGGAACACAAGTAGCAGTAAAGAATTATCTAAAACCTTTAGCCTCCAAACAAAAAACAAAATAAAATATAATGTGAAGAAGCCCAGAGGAAGAGTTGGCAAATATCACAGAAAGCGAGGAAATGGCAAATCTTCAAATCTAAAAAAGATTAAAAAAAAAAAAGCAAGAATAAGGGGGGCAGATGTGGTGACTCGCGTCTGAAATCCCAGCAACCCAGGAGACAGAGGCAGGAGGATTACCAAAGTGTGGGGTCAGTCTGATCTACACAGCTAATTGCAGGGCTACATAGCATGATTCTGTTTGAAACAAACAAAAAGAATGTGAGGAGGATCCCATCAATAGACGTGACAGACAAGATCACGAGAAGATGATGGAGGATGCATCATTACCAAACATCTCAAGAAAATTCCCCCAAACTAAAGCACATGGATTCCCACATTAGATGGGAAAGAATATACATTGTGGTAAGAAGACAAAACACTGGAGCCAAGGGAAAGATCTGATAAGCTTGCAGAAAATTTAAAAGGAAACGTGACCACACGCAGGCTAGCAGCTCAAGCTGGCCTCAGCTTTCCTAAGCCACTGGAAGGACAACAGCAGATACCTTCCAATGACTGACAAGTTAGTGTTCTAAACCCAACTCAGATGTCAATCAGACCTGAAGACAGGGCGGAAACAGTTTCAAGAGTTCTCTTCAGGGATCTTTGTAGACTATGTGCTATACCAACCATGAGAGAGAAGGAGTGAAAGGAGAAAAACTGGGGCAGATCATTGTGGATGGCTTCACAAAGACAACTGTGCAGGAGCATCAAGAGCAAATAGTAAAAGCCATAGTGACACAGCAGGAAACAAACATGCCGAGACTTGCTTCTACTGTGCCCTCACTTAGCCACCTCAGCATCTGATCCAGCCTACAAAGCCTCTGCAGGGCGAGCTCCAGCAGCTCTGAGGCTAGCCTGGGATATGTACTGAGAATCTCTGTCCAAAAATAATGGAGGGATTAGAAGCAGGGAGATGGGAGAGGGGAAAGAGGAAAAGGGAGGAAAACAGGAAGAAGGGAAAAGGGAAAGGGAAAGGAGGGGTGAATGGAAAAGAGAAGAGGAAAGGGATAGGGAGAGTAAGGGAAGGAAAGGAGAAAGAGAGGAAAAGGAAAGAGGAGGGGGGAAAGAAGGAGCATTAAGAATTGGTCTCCTGGGCTAGAAAGACTGTGGGTAAAGCGCTTGACTTACAGGCTTGAGAATTTGTAACCCCGGTGTTCCCAGGGTGAGATAAAGATGGGGAATTCACAGCTAAACTGGCATATGCAGCAACAAACAGGAAGAGACCCTGTCTCAAACAAGGTGAGATGCAAGGACCAATGCTGTGGTTGTCATCTGACAGTCCCCATGTGCAGGCATGCATGAGCACGCACGCTCACGCGCGCACGCACGCGCGCACACACACACACACACACACACACACACACACACACACACACACACACC